GAGGATTTCCATGAGATCCATCTCGGGTCGTTCAGGCCATGATCAGCACCTGGGGTTCCCGTATCTCCCCAGCCATGGCCCATCTCATCTCCTGGGGAGCCGCACCTTCTTACTTGTACATCAGTTTCTAATCTACACCCAGTCTCCCTGGGAGGGTGGCGGGGAAATCCTAATACAAACGTGGATACTCTAACAAACATTCAATATCACATATATCATATTAGAAATGGCACGAATTATATCTACTACACATAACAAAAGGAAAACACCAAAAAATACAAGGAAAGGAAAAGAGAAGAAAGCAAAGCAGATCTCCAGTGCTGGTTCCAGCATTGCTCTGGCTGATGGGGTGCCCAGGCTCCTGGGGCACAAGCTCTGTGATGGGTTTCTCACTTGCCATGCAAACTGGTTCTCATGCACAGTGCACTCCTATAGATCTTTCTGGAAAAGTCTTGCCCTACCTCCACGTGGCCCCTTCTCCAGCCACCTCTTGTTCTTTCTCATGGTTGTTACCGAAATCCTTGTCTGTTGTTACCAGCACTCCTTGGCTGGCCCCACGGCCATGCAGCTCTTGGAGTCTGGGACAGACACATCAGCCCTAGCTGGGCACCAGGGTCCTGCCAGCCCACTCCTGGCCCCTCCAGCCATCCAGGCTGTCCAGACTCCCACCCTGAAGCCCACCCTGGTGGGACACAGCCCACCCCACCGGGGCTGCACAGCCGGGAGGTGTCCCAGGTCACACCATCCCTGCTGCTGCTCGGCCTTGGCTGTGCCACCACTTGGATCCCTCCCAAACTGAAGCGATTCCCAGTGTTTTCTCAGCATTTCTCCTACCCACAAACTGCTGTGCTTCCTCTTTCCCTTCCCTTTTGAGGCCAACCCAGAAACAAGCTCTGCTACCACAGAGGGGGCAGCGGGTGGGCTTTGCCTCGTGCAAATCCTTGTTCCCAAACTGCAGCCAGAAACACTTCAGAGCAGAGAGGGGGACAGAAGAAGGAGCTGCAGTCCCCAGAACCTGCCCCTGCAGCTCCAGGACACCCAGGACCTGCTCCCAGCCCATGCCATGGAAGGAAAGGCGGCAAATCAGCAGAGTGTGGTGAAGCTGGTGGCTGCGTTTGAAGAGCACTGGTAAGGCAGGAGGGCTCTGGGTGCTGAGGGTGTGTTAGGGCTCCACGTGGAATGGGTTTGGGAAGGAAGAAACCCACTGTGGAGGTGGTTTGGAGCATGTGGAGAAGCTGACATGGTGATTTGCAGTTCTTCACAACTCAGGTCTGCCTCAATGTCTTCCTCCTGCTGTGGGTCATGAGCAGAATCTGAAAACCTCAGTGGGGTGTGAGTGGTTCTGCCTGGCTCAGGGTTAGGCTGTGGCAGGCCATTCCCCCACACCCAGCATCTTCACACTCAGCCTGGCTGGTGCATGCTGCTGCTGCTGGGGAAAGGAATTGTGGTTTGGAAATATGTAGGCAGAGGGGTGTCACTGAGAATTAACTGCCTGAGTGTCTGGGAGGGTTCCAGCCTCAGACTGTTCACCTGTTTGCAAAGATGTGGCTCCTAGGAAAGGAAACAGAAGGCGTTATGTTAAGGGAGAGAAAGAATTCCTTTCATAAAACAGCTCCTGCCTTTGGAGTGGAGTATGTGCTGGGGTCTGAGCAAGGGGATCGGCCCTGGCTCTGGTGTAAAAGTAATTCTGAGGCTTCAGGTGAGTAGTCAGAGCTGTGCCTCAGTTTCTCCTTCTGATGGATCAAGCTACAGAATCCTGCCATACCTTGTACCCATGAGATGCTCTCAGTGAGCCTTGGAGGGGCTGGGTGTTTGGGCAGGTGAGTTTTGCAGCAGTTCCTGAAGATGCTGAGGCACAAGATTTCCTTTCATTCTAGGAACTCCTGCACCTCTGCTGTGTGCTTGTCCCCAGACTTTGTGCTTGTCCCCATCATCCCACAGGGATGTTGTGTTGGAACCACTGCAGTGTTTGCTCTGCCCCCATGTCACTGCTGCAGCGTGTTTGTTGTTTGCTCTGGAGTGTGAGTTTGATTTAGAGGAAATAAAAGTAACTTGAGACTTTCAGAGGAAGCTGGGGAACTTGGGAATGAGCAGAGCATTTTGGAGCAGACAATGGTTTGGCCTAAGTCAGCATAAGTAGAAAGATAGAAGTTCCCTGTTGGGACTCAGCTGTGGCTTTAGGATGATAGAGGTTTGGGAGGCACCAGAGAGATGGAAAAATCCTCTTTGTCTCTGAAGGGTTCTGCCAGTCCCCTGGACAGGAGGGGATTTGTGCATGGCTGTGGATGCATTCCTGAGCTCACAGACATCCTGAGCACAGGATGGAGCTGACATCGTCTTCAGATGAGCGTCTGCACCTCAAGTCACTTCCTACTCTCAACTTTGCAGTTTGGTGTCAAATTTCTTCATGTCTTTCCCATCCTACCCATCCCACTCCTGTCTGCAGGCCAACAGTGGATGTCTTTCCAGTTTCTGCCCAGAGCAGTTTCCTGCAGTGACCAGCTCTTGGATGACAGACAAGTCACTTGCTGTCACCTTCACAGCCTGGCTTCTCCCTCATGCCTGCTCTGGACCTGCTTTCTTTGTCTTTGCCAGAAAAGGGAAGAGAGAACACCACCAAAAACAACCTGTCTGTAAAACCACCCACACATGGCCTGCTCTTGGCTCAAAGCTCTTGGCTATTTGGCTTCTCCCTGCTTTTCTCCGTGGTGGCAGCAGGCAGAAATCCAGAGCTGTGGGTGGGATAAACAGCAGGATCCTGCTTTTCTAGAGCAGGAGAGGGACTGGGCACAGCAGCAGGGGGCTCTGGGAGAAGAGAGGCTGGATCCTGGCCCTGTGGAGGATGCTGAGGATGTTTTACTGCAGGGCTGTAGCGGAGCAGAGCAGCGTCAGCGCTGGGCAGCTGCTGCTTTTGTCCCTTTTGGTGGCTTTAAGCTGGGGGCTGTGCTGGGGCAATGGCTGAGCTGATCACGTTCCTTTGCAGCAGGGACAGCACATCTGCCCAGAGGGACAAGCAGGCAGGCAGGCAGCCCCAGCAGCTTCCAGCATTTCCTGCCAGCCAGAGGCGTTCCCTGAGCAGAGAAGAGAATGAGGAGGAGAAGGATCAGCAAGGTCAGCGTGGACTCAGTTTCAAATGCCTCCGTTCTCTGCGATGCAAAATCCGTGAGGACAGCTGGAGGAGGCCACAGGGCCCAGGCCTGGAGCCTGGCAGCCAGGTGAGCTCCAGAGGCTGGTGGGTGCCCACGCTCAGGCAGGGCTGGCTCAGGGTCACATCTCTGCCCACGAGACTGAGCCCTGCTCCCCATGCAGGAGCCAGAGGAAAAGAAAATCGCGCTGGAGCTGCTGGAGACAGAGCAGGCTTATGTCAACCGCCTCCACCTCCTTGACCAGGTGAACTGGGGAATGGAGGGACCAGTGCAAGGGGATTTTGGAGGGATTGAAGCTGTAAAAATGAGAAACACATGGGCTGCTGGTCTTTTCAGCCAGAGACTGGGTCTGGCCTTTGCCTTTCCTATACCCCACACCTCTGGGAAGCACCCTTGTCCTAGCAAAGCCTTCCATCCCACTCTCCTCTTGGGGCCTGGGATTTTCCTAGTGCACAGTCAGGCCTTTCACTGGGTGATGCACCAGTCTCAGAGGGGGAATGGGATCCTCAAACACCTCCCTGGCCCTTTTTGTTCACCCTTCTTTCTTCCAGGTATTCTATACAGAGCTGATGAAAGAAGCCAAAACTGGGAAGACAGTCCCAGAGGAGGTGGTGAAAATGATCTTTTCCAACATCTCCTCCATCTACCAGTTCCACGCTGAGTTCTTCCTGCCAGAGCTGCAGAAGCGCATGGAGGATTGGTGAGCTGCAGGAGGGCCAGAATGGGGGAGCAGCACGGAGTGTGGGCTCTCACCAGGACCAGAACTCAGCCTGTTTTGCTCCAAGTGTCTTTGCTGGAAAACACTTCCTTAAAACACTCAGAGTATGGAAACCTGGGAGACATCTCAGGTGGTTTGAGGGTGTGCCTGGGTATGAGCAGCCCAGGCTGGCTGCAAGGTGGGGGCAGGAAACACTGTGGGGATGTAGCAGCCTGCAGCAGGGTCCTTCAGTCCTCCACCGTGGTCCTTCAGTTCATCCCTCACTGTCTGTCTGTCCTGAGGAAGCTGCTGTGGTTCCCTCCTGCAGGAACAGCAACCCCCGCATTGGGGATGTCATCCAGAAGCTTGCACCCTTCCTCAAGATGTACGGGGAGTACGTGAAGAACTTCGACAAGGCCGTGGAGCTCATCACTGCCTGGTCAGAGAAATCACCTCCCTTCCAGGAGCTCATTGCTGACATCCAGGTAAGGGCAGGGTGGGGGCGTCGCAGCAGAGCTCCCAAAATCTCCTGGGAACGTGGAAACAACAGCGGGTGGGAGCTGCCTTGGTCACTGTTCCTCTCTCCGTGCCTGCTGTCCTGCCCAGAAGAGGAAGGTCTGTGCTAACCTGACGCTGCAGCACCACATGCTGGAACCTGTGCAGAGGATCCCACGCTACGAGCTCCTGCTGAAGGATTACGTCCGGAAACTCCCGCCCCAGTCCCCCGACAGGGGCGACGCCGAGAGTAAGGACTCTGCGTCTCCAGGGTGGGGAGAACAGGGTGGGTTTGTAGGGAAATAACAACGCCTGGTGTTGTACATGGGCACCAGAAAACCTGGATTCACTCACCAGCTGCCCTGTGCCCTTGGATAAACCTCTCTGATCATTTTCTAGCAGGGAGAGGGATTAATCTTCCTTTTGAGGAGCTGGGGGAGGGAAAGGATGGTGTGTCAGGTGTCCACAGTATCCCCTAAAGAGACCTGTGGCAGGTGGGAGAGCTTTCAGACCCCTGTGGATAACACAGTTCCCAGTCCTGCTGGGATGGAGGGATACACAAGTGGGCTGTCTGTCCCTCCAAGCCCCCTCCATGTGCAGTCCAGCTGTACCCAGACTCCTGCACAGCACTTCAGGGCCACTTTGGTTGTGTTCGTGGAAGGGCAGCAGCTGCTACTCATGTGCATCCATGAGGGACAGAGCCAGAAGCTTCCTCCCACAGCTCCAGAGCAGGTGTTTCACCTCCTGTCTGTTCTCATTGCAGAGGCCCTGGAGATGATTTTTATGGTGGCCAAGCACTCCAATGCAGCTATTGCCGAGATGGTGAGGCTCTGTCCCAGCTGGAAATGCTTTGCAGCTCATGGCACAGTCCCCTGAAAGGGACAAGAGCCTTGTGGGTTCAGCTGTGGAGCTTAAACCCTGCTCTCAATGCCCAACCTCACCACCCCAAGCCTGTGGAAGTCACATCTGTAGCATCAGCTGGGGTGTGACCAGCTGGTCAAGGCTGGGAGCTGCTCCCAAAGATCAGTCTGGGCTGAGAGAGCTGTGCTACCTCTCCCAGTATTCAGCAACAGGCTGGGAGGCGGGCATGGAGGGGACCCAGCAGCGACAGGGTCCTGGCTGCTCAGCACCCCACAAGAACAGGTCCCTCTGCCTACCCCAGGAACGGCTGCAGAACCTCTGGGTAGTCTATCAGAGGCTGGGCCTCGAGGATGACATCGTGGATCCCTCCAATGAGCTGATCAAGGAGGGACCAATCCAAAAAATCTCCACCCGCAACAACAGCACATCGGAGAAGTACCTGTTCCTGGTGGGAGCTGGGATGCCTGGGGCAAGGGGAGGGAGCAGATGAGACAGGAGTGGGGAGAGGGGCAGCACAGCCTGGCCAGGGTGTTGCTGGGTCACCTGAACACTGAGGGGCTGAATTCAGAGCTGGGGATGGGGGTTTGACTCGACCCCGCTCAGTGCAGGGCACCCTGTGCAGGACATGGTTGGGAATTTGCAGGGTGGGAGGGGACTGAGGCAGAAACAGATAGGTTTGAGGTGGGATTCTTCCCAAGGACCAGCTCAGCTCTGGGCAGTGAAGGACCCCTGGCCCCAGGGAAGCCCACAGCTCAGAGCAGGCAGTGCTGGGCTCCAACCCACCCTCTTCTCCCCTCCCAGTTCAACAACATGCTGCTGTACTGCGTGCCCAAGGTCATCCAGGTGGGCGCCGAGTTCCAGGTCCACCTCCGCATGGATGTGGGGGGCATGAAGGTCAGACAGACACCTTGTCTTTGTGCTTGCCCCAGCTCCTGCCTGCTCCAAAAGCCCCTGCTCTGGGGTGTGGCTGTTGCCCAAACTTCCTCAGGAGGGAGGGAGCAGCTGGAGGCAGAGGTGGCTTTGTGAGTGGGGTTGATACTCTGATCCTGGGAAATGCCAGTGAAATCTTGTGCCTGTGGGATCTGAGGGGCTGAAGGGCTTGTGCCAGCGGGACATCCCTGTGCTCCACATCATGGAGAAAGGTCCAGGGCTGCTGGAAGTGGGTTCACCTCCACATCTCCTCTCTGGTCTCCCACAGGTGCGGGAGCTGAAGGATGCTGAGTTCCCTCACACCTTCCTGGTGTCGGGAAAGCAGCGGACGCTGGAGCTCCAAGCCAGGTAAGGGGAAGAGTGACATCATGCAGACCCTCAGGGAGGAGGGACAACAGCTCATCCAGGTCCCTTTTGTACCCAGGTCCAGGGAGGAGATGAACGCCTGGATCAAGGTACCACTGAGTGCTGGGAGAGGGGGCACAGCCCCCTCATCCCAGCTGGATGCCTGGGTCAGGGCACCTCCAGTGCCCCTCCAGTCCTGCCTTCCCCTCTAGGCCTTCCAAGATGCCATTGACAGGAAGGAGAAGAGGAGTGAGACCTTTAAGACAGCAGTCCATGGACTGGAGACAGACACCCCTGCACTGAAGGTAACCTTTCTGCTCTCCCTGTGCCCCACCTGGAAGAAAACACCTTGCTGTGCCTCAGTTTCTCAAGCTAAACCGACCTGGGTGGAAGCTGAGGAGGGGAAGGGGTGAGGACACCCACACTATGGTCTCCCACCCCCAGACAGAGGAGCTGGGCCGCCGAGCCCCACAGTGGGTGCGGGACAATCTGGTGACCATGTGCATGCGCTGCAAGGAGCCCTTCAACGCCATCACCCGCCGGAGGCACCACTGCCGAGCCTGTGGATATGTGAGCCCCCCGCGCCCCCCTCCATCCCTCCTGGCCTGCTCAGGTGCCTGCTGGGCCAGGAGTGCACCTCTCCTACACCTTGTACCCCATCCCTAGGCTTAGGGCTGCTCCTGCCCCTCAGCTCCTCATGGAGCTGTCGCTGGGTCCCCTAGCCCTGCCCCAGTGTCACCAGTGTCGCTGTCTGGTGGCTGCAGGTGGTGTGTGCTCGCTGCTCTGACTACAAGGCCGAGCTGCAGTACGATGGGAACCGCCCAAACCGGGTCTGCCAGGAGTGTTTCATCTTCCTGACCGGCCACACGGTGCTCGAGGACCGCGAGGGGAAGCACAAAGGCATCCTGGAGGTGAGCTCCGCCCCAGGCTGCCCTCTGAGCACTGCCACCCACCCCGGTCTCCAGCCTCGCTGTCCCAGCCCGGCCCTGCGCCCGCAGCAGGAGGGGTGGGAGTCACTCCCCCAGCAGTCAGAAGGTGCATGAGTTGATCTCCCTCCTTCGTGCTCTAAGCATTGGGATCAAGCAGCCAGGGCTCCCTTCACCACAGAATGTCAGCAGCATCGTCATGGCCAGGACAGCCCCTCACCTGGACCTGCTTTGGGAGTGAGACCTCTAAGACAGGGGGACCTTTAAACCCCCTTCAGGGGGTTTCCTGAAGTGGGCAGGGAATTCCCCAGGAAATTCTCTCAGCTCAATGCCCTTTCTACCATCTGCACTGGGTATTGAGGGATTGGTTGGTTATTTTGGCAGAAAGGAGCTGCAGAGGTATCAAGCAGGAGTTTGCTCTGCAGTACCCTGCAGCTGCTGGACAAGAACGGCAAGGGGGGCACACGGGGCTGGTTCGTGATCCCACAGGACGATCCCCTCGTGCTCTACATCTATGCAGCCCCGCAGGTGAGGCCTGCCTCGAATCCATCCCAGGGGACGTCCCGCTGTGCCCAGGGGACATCCCGCTGTCATCCCCCGCCTCCCACCGCTGTCTCTTCTTGGCAGGATGTCCGAGCCCACACCTCCATCCCCCTGCTGGGCTACCAGGTGCGGGACATGCCCCAGAGCGAGTCCCGGCACCTCTTCCAGCTGGCGCAGTCCCGGCAGGTGTTCACCTTCGTGGCCGACACTGAGGAGCTGAAACAACGCTGGATGAAGGCCATGGCACGCTCTGCTGCGGGGATCACGCACCCGGAGGAGGAGGAGGAGGATGCAGATGAAGCCAAATGAGGCCGTTCCCAGCCCTGCTCTGCCTGCTCTCGCTGCTGGCTTTGGGCAGACCCCCGACATCTCTGCATTCTGGTTTTCCATCCTGACAGGGGCAGGACGGGGACACGTTTGGCAGCACACGGACAAGCCGGATGCCCTGTCCCTCGCTGCTCACGCTCCGCGCTGGGCAGAGCGGAGGATTTGGGGGATTTGGGGGATTTTGGGGACCCGCGGCTCGCAGACGCCGGGCGCTGTGCGGTGCCACCGGCGGCCACGCGAGGGCAGCAGCGCCCCGCGCTTCCGTAGCCGGGCGGGGATGGCCCGAGCCGGGCGAGCCTGCGGGGCTGGGGCTGCCGGGATAAACCCACCTGCGACCCTCTCTGTAACCCTGTAGCCTTTTGTTGCACGTCTGTTTTGCAGAGAGCCCCGTGGGATTGTCCCCGTGGCTCCACATTGCCATATATGTCACAAATATGTCCGGGACCCAGCTTGTAGCTCAGCCTCGCAGCCCAGGGAACCCCAGTGCTGGATTCAGGATGTCCCTTTTCCAGCTTGTCACCGCTCCTGGCCTCACACTGCAGCCCTGTGGTGTGGGGGTACTCCTTAACCACAGTCAGCCCTCACTTGCCTCACTGAGCCAGCCCACACTCCTGCCCATCCCAGACTTTCCCTGCCCACAAACACCTTCCAGCCTTGTACCTCCCTCAGTTACGTGTCCAGGGGGAAAACACCCTGGGACAAGGTCATATCCACACAGGTGCTGCTGTGATGCTGGGGTGACACGGGGGATCCCCCCTTCCACCATCAGCATAACGAGCACCTATTTCAGTCAATGCTTTAGGCTGCAGCCCCACATTTTTCTCTCTGCATTCTCTTTAGCTCCCTAAAAATGTTGCCCAGGCAGAAGCTGCCACTTCTGAGCCTGCCAGGGCCTCGTGCACAGAGCTGGAGGAGCCCATGATCCCTGGCAGGCAGGGCTTGCTGCCTGGACCATGCAGCAGCCCCAGCACAGCAGCCTTGGGCAGGGCCCAGGGGTGTCACAGGCTGAACAGATCCCTGCACACTGGGAAGGGAGGTGGAGCAGGATACTGCAAATGGGAATAACACCTGGGGAAAGGATGGGGGGGTGGTAAAGATGAACCACAGCTGCCATCATTCTGGGGGGCTTTGAGGAGACAGGAAAAAGCTGTGAGCAGTGTCCTTCCTCAATCTATTCAACTCAGCTCATCCTGGCACAGGGTAAACTGTGATGGTTTTATCTCCTCCAACTCAAGAGATCCTGTCAAGGAAGGGGGAGAGGAGGAGCTGCATGTCAGGGCCAGAGCTCTGCCAAAGCAGTTGCCCCTCAGGGTGCCATCTGAGCCCAGATGCAAACAGCACAAACAGGGCTTTCCAGAGACACCCCAAAACAGCCCTCACCTCCCACCATCACCCTGTGGGAAGGGGAAACCCCAGCAGTGCTGGTGCTGCAGGGAGGAAAGAGTGAGCAAGGGGAAGCCCGCGGGGCTGGAAGGTTCTGCGTGGTGGCCCTTCCACCTCGGCGTCACCGCTGTGTCAGCGAGGAACAAAACAAGCCCCGAGCAGGGAGCTGCCCTCAGCTCGTCAATGGCCTAAGAATAAATTTCCTGTTTACCCAGTGAGGAATCGCTCCCGGGGCAGAGGGCACCTGGGGCTATTTTTACCAGCTCCTGCTCTGCTCCCTCCGGACCCCCAGCACTCTCGGGACCTCTGTCCCACTGCAGCACCCATGAGTCCTTGGGAAGGTGACTGCACAGAGAGGTGGCCCAGGGACAGAGGGAGTGGCAGGGCACTGGAGCAGGCCACTGGCATGGCTTTGGCATTGTGCTGCCCTCAAAGACAGGGAGACAGCATCGCTGCCCTGAGCATCCCCAAACAGGAGGGTGGGAGACCCAACTTTAAGGGGTTTGTATGATTCCCCAACTCTGCCTTCCTACAAAAAGAAAAAAAAAAACAAAAAAAAAAACAAAAAACACTTTTACATGTGCAGAGACTACACAGATGAATTTTCTGTGCCTGTCCTGTCTCAATCCCCAGGCGGTGCCACAGCAGTGGTCAAGCAGAGCAGTTTGGCCTCCCGCCTCCAGAACAGAAAGTGAAACCCCCGTGCAAAAGCCACAGTTTCCTATTCTCGAGAATGGGGAAGGCTCAGAGGCCATTTACTGGCATCCCCTCACGGGTCCCCACGCCTCTTCCCGTAAGTACTGACCAAAATACCCTGTGAAAGCCACAGTGGCTGTGCTGGGGCCGGGACAGGCAGCACAGAGAGCTCCCAGCCCGCCCAGGGGAGCCTGTGTCCCTGCAGCTGCTGCCCTGCAGAGGCTGCGCTGTCCTGCTCATCCCAAACCCTGCCTGGGTACCACACCTCCATCCAAAATGCGGGAGGGGCATGTGGAGAGGTTCGAGGGCACGAGTGAGCAGAGGGGGTGGCAGGGGCACAGCTGTGGTACCCCCTTGCAGGGCTCTGTGAGGTGCAATCTCCCCTGATCCCCAGGAAGGGGCTCAGTGGGTGCCCCTCCAGGTGAGGGGTGGATGAAACCATGTGGGCCTCCAGAACCCCACAGCCCAGCCTGCAGGGCTGCTCTGGGAGCTGCTCTGTGGGGTCCGGGCTCTTGATCCATAGGGACAGGCTCTCTCCATGCTTGGCCAGTCCCCCTCTTTGGGGGCTGTTCCACCGGGCATGTTCTCTCACTCACTAATTGCAGGTCCCTCTGCACTACATGGGATGGGGTTCTGTGCTCTCTAGGGATTGTTGTTAGGTGTCTGTTTTGCTGGAGCAGCAGATTTTGCTCTATAACCTCTGGGCTTTGGTTGTATGAGTGCTGGGCTCCATAGGGGCCAGCCCCACACACTGTTTGTAGGTGTTGAGTTCCATAGGGGTATTCCCTGGAGGGGCTGTGACCCACAGAGTCCCTGCTCGGGGACAGCACATCCCTCACTGCGGGATACTGGACAGGACAGCTCTTACCATGGGGCTCTTGGGGCAGCACATCCCTCACTGTAAGATTTTGGGGGGCACACCCCTCGCTGTGGGGCAGCCCCCCTCCCTGAGGCATTTTTTGGGCAGTTGTGGCCGCAGCGCCGCGGTGCTGGAGCTGCAGCAGCGCAGCCGCTCCCACCACGCAGCCCCTGCAGCCCACCGGGGCTTCCTCTGCTCCCGCCAAGCGCTTTAAATCACAAATAAATTGAGTTGGGAGGCAGCCACAGCAGGGCCCTGCCCCGGGGCATCGCTCCCGCCGTGCCAGGGCTGCGGGGAGCCCTGTGTGCCCTGAGTCCGGGGGCACCCCCTGCATGGGGGGATTTACAGATGTGAGATGATGCTAAATGATGGAAAATACTTGTGATACCCCCTCAAAAAAAAAAAACCAAAAAAACAACAACAACAACAACAAAAAACCCAAAAAAACCAACAAACCCCACAGCCAGGATTGTGTAACCTTAGGACTGGGGTACCCCACCCTGCTCCTCACCCCCCCAAGTCCCTTAGGAAGCAACTCAGATCCAGAGGGGGATCCCAAGTATCCACCCAGCTGCGCCCCGTTTTTGCAGTGACCTCGCCGTGGGGGTGTGGGGGTGTCCCCGCGCTTGGGGGAGGGTTTGAGGGGGGGAAGCTTCCACCTGCTTTTCGTGGCCCCCGCAGGCGCCGGCAAAGGGCGCTCGGTGCGGGTGGGAAGCCGGCCGCGCATCCCGGCGCCTGGCGAGGCGGGAGGTGATTCCCGGTGCCGCAGGAATTTGCTGCTTGCTCCCGTGTTGCAGGAGGATGGGGGAAGGAAAAAGGGGCGGAGGTGGTGGGGGGGAAGCTGGCAGTTGTTATTATTTAATTTTATTTTCCTTCCTCCATCCAGGAATCTCTGCAATGTGCTGGCTGCTCCCCGGGAGGCTGGGGTGGCCGTGAGTCACTGCTGCCGCTGGAACGTGACTCAGTCCTGCTGCTCCGCCGGCAGGACATGACCAGACTGCCAAAAACCGGGAGAAGCCCCAGGTCCGGCTCCTGCCCGCGCCGGCGGGCGAGGACACGCGAAATCCCCCCGGGGAGCTCAGCCTCCCACTTCGCAGGGAAGCGGCAGCCCCTTGCCGCGGGCAGAGCTCGGCAAGGGGGGGCACAATGGACTTATTTATTTATTTGTTTATTTATTTATTCATTCTATTTTTTTTTTTTTTTTTT